GTATCTACCGCGGTGATCGAATCCGACACCGGAATCAGGTGGACAATCTTGCTGAAGCGATCTACGAACACTTAGACACCATAACGTCTCTTAGCATCGAGTGGGAGCCCGAAGATGAAGTCCATCGACTCCGAGCGCCCAGCGGGGCATCGTGAAACTCATGGATAATCCGTGGGCGCAGATCGGGTTCATTAGGGACAACGACACGTGGGGCATCGAAGTTGTCGATGCTGAACGTCAGCAGCTCGTCCTCGAGACGATATCGGTGGATTTTGTTTCGTACAGAGCGGGAAAAGGGCTTCCAGTGTGTCGGCGCTGGAAGAGCGGAAATGCTCCAGGATACTGGAGTACATCGAGGCATGCTCGTAAGCAGCTAGGATCTCGTCGCGAAGTGGCATCACCGGGGAGACGCTCGTCAGGTTGACTCCTGACGCATCGCACGTGGCACACTCGTCTACATCGTCTTCATCCAGCGAAGCTTGTCGACCCAATGCACCGCGCGGGTCGTAGTCGGGACGCCGAGACAAAGCGTCAGCAAGAATGTTGCTCTTGCCGGGCTCGTAATGGACCAGGAAGTTGTACTCAGAGAAGAATGAAAGCCAGCGGGCCATCCGCTGGGATAGATAGGGACTCTTCATCGCTGTCCTCAGCGATGCATGGTCGGCGTACACCGCGAAGGTATCCTCACCCAACAAGTACACTCTGAGCTTGATGAGAGCGTAGCGCATCCCAAGGAGCTCCTTGTCGTGAACAGGGTAATTGCGCTCTGCCGGCTTTATCGGTCTGGACTGGTAGCTCACGACACGCTCTCGATCTTCATCGTCGAATTGCATCAGCTCACAGCCGATGGCGAAATCGCTCGCGTCGCAGACGACGTGAAAAGGCTTCGAGTCATCCGGGAGCGCGAGGATTGGGGCCTCGGCGAGACTCTTCTTCACCTAGTCGAAGGCGGCCTGATGTGCGGGAGTCCACGACCACGACACATCTTCCTTCAGCAACGAAGAAAGCGGCTGGATCAATCCGGCGTAATTCTTCGTGTACTTCTGGAGATGATTTACGAGACCCAGCCACTGACGCAATTCAGTGGGATTCTGTGGCGTACGCCACATATCGACGACACTTTCTCGGGGTCGGCGCGGACGCCATTCTTGCTCACAAAGCAGCCAAGCACCTGAATATCCGGCGCGCAGAATATGCACTTCTTCAAGTTGGCGTACAGCTTGTTTTCGCACATCACTTTAAAGACTTGCCTCAGATGCTTCAAATGGACTTCAAGCGCGCTGAGGTCTCCCTCAGCGCGACTGTGTACGAAGATGTCGTCGAAGTAACTCGGTGTGAAATCGCGGAGCGGGTGCAGCACATGGGATATCATACGATTGAACGTGGCGGGAGCATTCTTCGACCCTTATGGCATAACAAGCCACTCCCAGACATACCCCTGGGAGTGCTTACCGCTGTGAGCAATATGTCGCTCAGCCTCATGGGGATTTGGTAGAACCCATCGGTCAAGTCGATGACGCTGAAGACCTCACTACCCGACATTGCGTCGAGCACCATGTCCTTCCGAGGAATCGGCGTCTGGGCAGGGATGGTAGCGTCGTTCAGCTTGTTGAAGGCATGGACGATGGGCCACCCACCCGTGGCTTTCTTCACACAGAAGGTCGGACTGGAGTGCGGCGATGTGCTCTCACGCACATGACCCGCCTTGCGGCGGCTTTCGAAGAAGTCATCGATAGCTTGGACCTGATATCGCGGGAGCGGCCACTGCCGCGTCACACAATACTTCGAGCCGGGCACGAGATCGATCTCATGGCGAATTCCTCGGTCAGCTGGTAGCTCAGCTGGGATCTTATCCGGAAAGACATCTTCATATTCGCGGGCGGACTCGTAGACTGGATTGCCGGATTCGCGTAGCGCTTCCCAAGATTGCGCTGCGAAGCGCTCCTCGCGGGCCGACTTCGGCTCGGCGCTCTTTGGGCGTGAGGGAGCGTCGCCGTCACTGACTGCATTCACTTCGAGCGACGCCGAATCGGCGTCGGTGATCAGGCAAACATGTTCGTATTCATCGTCCTTGAGGCCGCGAAGGAAGTTCTTCCAGGAGAGACCTGGAAGTCGAGTGATCGACCCCGCCTCCCGAGGTGGGTTTGCAAGCTCGAGTGTTCGTCGGCGACCGGAGGTACCTTCCACATACTCAAGCACGCAGACCGACTCCGTGGGTGAGCTGTCACTTGGCACGGGCTCTCGGCGAGGTTTCAGCCGGCGCCCCTTCGACTTCCTCCAGCGAGAGTGACTCATCGTCCTCGAGTTCACACTCGAGGCAGCGAGTCGCTCTCGCTGGACGAGATGTCACCCCCTCTAGCGGGAGCCCCTGCTCGACCGCGGTAGTCTTCAGCGGTAGCGCCAGCCGCTCGACCACCGGCTCAATTGACGGGAGCCCCTGCTCGACCGCCAGTTGGTCTTCATCCCCGCGTCACCGCGGGGATTCGTCAGTTAACAGCACCGCGCAAGCCGTGCAGAGAGGGCCATCGCTCACTCTGTGCACAACGTGCGTCGTGGATGACCGGTCCACGACGGAGACGTGAGTCCAAATCTTCTGGGCGGCCATGAGGTGCGTGAACACTTCGCTCACATTATAATCACTGCGATCAGTCAATCTCTGGCTGATAGCGCGTCAGCCACGGCATACTCAGGATGCGGTCAAACGCGTAATTCATCTCAATGACGAGGAAGTCGTCGTTGCTTCGGAAACCGTCGATCGTGTACGAAAGTGTAATCTCGCGCCGCGCGACGCGGCGTGATTTCCCATCCGCCAACTTGACAGCGACCTCCTCTCTACCTTTGCGAACAGTGATGTTCGACGGGAGTACTGACAAGCATGACGCGCGGAAGAAGTTGTTGGTCGCTCCTTAATCAAGGAGCGCTCGGAGTGGTCGCCGGGCACCGGCGACATGAAGACTGACAATGATCAATCTTGAATCGCTCGGCGTGGTGGTGGCATGAAAGTGTGCATGTAGCACAGGAGGGCTAGGAGGTTGGGTTGCCACCGGGGGACCTGGACCTCCATTCCAGCCTACTGACCCGGACCGTTTTTTGGCTGATCAGAACTCACGGGCTCCGCATCAACATGCGCAAGCACTGGAGCTGGCGCGCGGCACTTCGCCGCGCGATGGCCGACCTTCCGGCAACGGAAGCAGGTGAGAGAACGACTGTTCCGAGCACCGTTCCGACGCTCTACATGACTCTGGCGTTTACTCGTCGCATTGATAGCGTCGATGTTCATGGGCTCGGGCGCAGAGTTTTGATCTGAAGCACGTAGCGCGTGAGCGTATGACGCCGCAACCACGTAGTCCTCGCGTAGAGCGAGGGCAAACGCCTCTTCGAGTGTAGAGGGGTCCGTATGGTAAGGCAGTAGCGCGTCATGCCTTCGCGGATACCGAACACGAACACATGAACCTGGGAGGCCATATCGATGGGCTTGGACACGATACACGACGCGAGGTGTCGTGGCTTCTGGACGTAGTCGCGCATAGTCATCGTGCCTTGCCGAAGGGCGAAGAAGTCTGCCCGGTTCGGGATTCATCTTGCGGCGACTCAAACGCGAGCCGAAGGTCACTCTGGAGGGTATCCAGAGTGAGGAAGGCGTTGGGATCGACGTCCAACTTGCATTCCTTGGCTTTCCCAGACAGCCACAAGAGGAGGGAGTGGACCTTCGCCGAAGGCGCCTCGAGCAACATCGAGGCGATGGCGACGTCGATCTCTCGAAACCAGCGATTCAGCGGAAGTCGGTCTTCTCCGGCACCGGAGTAGGTGGACGTCTCTAGCTTCACGACGTCATTCGTGGAGGTACGCGAGGGAGTTGACACTCGCCGATTCGCATCGGCGAGCTCGCGTTCCATGAATTCTTGTGCCTCAACGCGCTGCTCGTCGGGCGTCGCTGAGCGCAGCAGCGACGTGACGACGGCTTCTCCGGACACCGCCGCGAGGCGGTGGAGAGCTTCCCACTCGATCTGAGTGAGATGGGGGAAAGCAGCGTGGTCAAGATCTTGGCTCATGTCGAACTTGGTTGTTGGAAAAACTACAAAGTGCTACCAGGTGTATCGGGCCAGGTATTTACTCCGTTACTTGCTTACACTATAGTGTTGAGGAAGCTCGCAATAGGACGACTGAGGCTTAGGTTTAAGGAAAAATCAACTCTGACTTTAATTTTAGGACCAAGACCATAGCCCTGGCAACTCAAATACACGTCATAGTCCAATTGGCTAATAATGGGTATGGCTCCCCATAAATCAGATAATGGCATGGCACCATTTCAGCACACGCTAGTCGTGTGCCGATGCACCTACTTATGTAAAGAAATCTACCTACTTATGTAATGGAGGGGCCCACTACAATGGGGGCGGAGGAAATCACGTACAGCAAGCTTTAGTCTATGACTGGCACAGCCAATAAGGTGCACCTTCATGAGGTTTGCAAGCCACTGCGCAGTTATCACCAATCAAGAACCTTACCCCTTGAATGGTCTTACCAAAAAAAAGGTAAGAAACGCTCAATCGCCCTCAAGTGGCCCTCAGCGGTTAGGTGATCTGCTGGCTCATCCATAACAGGAGCCATAGACAAAAGAGGATATTAGGGGCCACTTAACATTTTCATGACGTCGAACGGGTGCTCCAGCATTATCAAGTATCACACCTGCCGCTCCAGCCAAGCGCCTCCCGACTTTTTCGCCAGGAATAAGCTATCACATTTTGAATTTGATAAATACGTTATGGGTACAGCACCTTTTTGGCTGCAAAATAGGTTATTATACCGATCAGTAAATATTGCTTTTTCAATTTATTCATTTTTCGGGATCCCTGTGCGTAAAGCCATAAAAGCGATGGTATATTTCTAATTGTATAGTTTTGAATAGCGATTCTACCGGGTAGTGATAAATAATGGCTTATCTTAGGAATAAAAGGTACTGAATACGCGACTTATATCGATGAATTTAAAGTTTCGCCTTACTTCAATCGGGCAGCTATTGAAGCAATCCAATACGCATCATGTGCAACTTGAAGCGGCTCGCCACACACTGCTCCGGGTGGCCATGCAATTTCAGCATTCATAAATGGTGGATACGTATCGACACCATCCCTTCCCGACCAATCGAAATCGATCAACACGACTCGGTTCTTACTGGTATCCCACATCACGTTATGCTCCCGAAGATCACCATGGACGAAAGATCCATCTTGTAGAGCGTTTTCGATCTTCAGCAGTTGATCACGAACTATCATGCCATTGGCCTGACGAAGGGGACACAATGGAAGTTGCTCCATAACGACGAATACCCAGCCATTAGGTAAAAGTTCGCAGAACAGCAGTTTGGGAGCAAAACCAGCGCCCCAACAATAATCATGGACTTCCGCCCCGTACCGCTTGGCGAACTTGATGATAACGTTAACTCCAGCGTGATTGGCCCTGAAAACAAACCGCTGAACCACTTCCAAATACTGAAATGAGATGTCCGTGCCGTTGCGTTCGACAGAATCTTTATATGGGAATCTTAGTCGATCGAGGGTGGTTAAATGCAGACCAAACGCATCGTGGTGACGACTAGCGCTGAGCTCGTAGCACGAATTCGTCAGCTCCTGGACAGCAGCCTTCAAGGAAGCGCACATACGTGCCAACGATACCATCAACCACTCGTTGTCAAAAAAAAGTAGCGGGAAGCTCATGACTAGAGGCTCGCAAATCGCGTCTTCGTCGCTCGTGTTTACAATCCCAAACACACTCATGAACGGTCCGCATATATCCACCAAGAGACATGGAAATTGACGGTCGATCACGAATGGCAAGTTCTTAATGTAGTATGCAACGTTCTGCATTGTCGGATCTCCACCACCGTCTCCTTTTTGGAGCTTACATTCCAAATTGAGTAGCAGCGTCTCTCCAAAACGATAGGAACCGTCTGAAACTGAGCCATTAACGATTGCCGGTGTAATCGTCGAGACTGGATCGTCACCGAGCAGGTAGGCTGTTAGCAATTGCCGCGCCTTCTCTGCAAATGTTGCTTCGCTGTTGTAAGGAGTGGACAAGCCATGGCACAACTTGCTCACAAACTCACAGTCGTTCTGACTAAACTTGATCACCTTGCAGTTTTCCTCAAATCTCGCAAACGTTTCGTTCAAGAGCACAACCGGAATCGGGGTTTCGTCGTCAGAACGTTCAACGCGATGACACTCAATCTGACCATTAAGTTTCTTCAACCATTTCACCCAACTGCCACTTCCCTTACATTTTGCGAAAGAAGATGGAGTGATCAAGTCGCTAATTTCAGCTAGCTTTCTCTTCTTGACCGAAATGGCCGCAGTAGCAGAAACCAACTGCTGATCCGGAACCACGACAAGCACGTGAACATTGCCCTCAGCCGGTCGAAAATTCTTTCCGAAATGATTGCCATTGTTTATCCACAGCAACGGATCCATCTTCTTGAAGCCTTGTGGGGCTCCATTTTCGTCACGTGAAACGGGTGCTCCAGCATTATCGAGTATCACACCTGCCGCTCCAGCCCCATCCAGCCACGCGCCGCCCGCCGTCTTCGCCAGGAAGAGCTGCAGCTTGTCTGCATCAACCTCTTTGAAGTCGTTGGCCTTCTTCGCCTTGATCGCTTCCTTCAAGTCATCCACGGTTTTGCCTTCGTTTACTTCCACGGAGAATGCGCTTCCCGCCACACCAACGATGGAACAGAAGAGCCTCACCATTTCTACAGTGTAGCCGATGGATTCTGGAATGAGGAAGAAGGGGGGAGTGAAAAATTCCCGTTTGTAAGAGATTGCGTGTCACATAGACTTTTAGCCAATGATGAAGCGCCACGCGTCGCACGACTCTTGCGGAAAAATCTGCCGGCGTAATTTATCAATAATATTGGGAAATGGGTAACTGAGATGAAGGGGTGATGATAATCACAGAACGAATAGCGAACGGGTCATGAATGCATAAACGACCACAAAGAATAATACCACCCTATCAGCGCGACAAGAAGGAGATGTGCAAAGGTATTGAGCTAAGATTAATCCACCGCAGGTACTAGGCAAAAAATCCAGTACATTTCAACATTTAAAATTGGCGCGCTTTTGGCGCCTTGCACATGTGAGACTGCGTCAAACAAAATGTTTCTTATGAACCTAAGTACGAATCGCGATTTAAGCACTTTAAACGAAAGCGGGGCGTGTCCTCTATCTTTTGAGCCCTTATAAGCTGCAGAATGCTTAAAACTGAAGAAGTTGTGGTCGCTTAAAAATATTATCTTCATTTATGGGCCCTCGAAAGTGCGCTGGTAGTAGCGCTTCTGCGCTGCATTAATAAACTTTTGGCATTGCTCAGGTGAGTATACCTCCATCTTCATTAATTATTAATTTTATACTGTAGTATTTTTCAGGATAGAAAAGCTAAAAAGCTGATAGTCTTAGGCAAGCATTGACACTACAACACAGCGATAAATATTCATTCACGAACTCGTTAAGATCGAAACGACGAACTACGTATACATGTAAGAGTACATAGGCATCGACTGGACTAACAGTCGCGCATAATCCATCCGCCTCGCCATGAGAAGCTCTGGTTCCACCACATCTGCCATCAACTCGTATCGTTCCATCATCTCCTCTGCACGAGCATCAACCGGCTGGGGCAAGAAGTCATCAACCTTGATTGTCTTGAAAGATCCAGGCATGAATGACGGAGGAGGTGGGGCAGACTCCGTTCGTCTCAGTATAGCTGCCTCGATAAATTTGAACGCGTTCTTTGGATACTTCAACGTAACTTGGGTCAGAACGTGCTTGTCGCTGAACCAAGAGAAATGCCAATGGTCGTTTCAATCCGTCAACAAACTCAGCGGATAGCAATTGAGAGGCGCCTTCATGCTGCAGCTCACAAGTTGACCAATTGCTTGAGGAACATGGCCCGGTTCGACTTTCTTCTTGAGCTCGATCACCAAGCTGACCCCAGCCAGCTTAATCAGTGGGTTCTTCGCTGTTCGATTGATGAGCAATACATCAGCTGTGCCTTTCATAGCAAACGGGAGTCTTGGGTCCTCGATGTTAAAAACTGATATATCGCCCGCAATGTTATCCAACAAGAAGTCTCCTCGATCTATCAGCGTCTTCAAATGCTGCTGCAAGTACGCCATGTACCCAGCCCTTTGACTTTCCTCGCTCTCCACGATTTTTGGAATCCACGAATAACCGGCGATGGAAGTATCGACTGGCTCCTTGACATCAGGAATATTTTCGGTCAAGAGCATCTTCTTGACAATTCGCTCTTCCCTCGCAGTATTCAGATCGGAAAACGAATACGCAGACGCCTTCTCATCTCGTTCCCTGAGAACCTTATTCATTGACATCTCCACTTGCTCTACTATCAGTGGCGTTGTCACTGCAGACATATCGTTTGAGATAGTACCATCATGCTCCGGAACCACCACCAGCACGTGAATCTGTTTCACTTTCGGGGGATCCACGCCTTCCAGACACTCAGAAATCGGATCCTCTCCCTGCAGCTCTATTTCTTCTTGCGTTAGAGATTTGACGAGAGCAGTCTTCTCGCCCTTCTTCAGCTTCTTCACATCTTCAGTGAGGCTCGACAGCCATGCGTTGCCCCCCGCCTTCGCCAGGAAGAGCTGCAGCTTGTGTGCATCAACCTCTTTGAAGTCGTTGGCCTTCTTCGCCTTGATCGCTTCCTTCAAGTCATCCACGGTTTTGCCTTCGTCTACTTCCACGGAGAACCCACACCAACGATACAACGGAAAAGCTTCACAGTCTCCACACGATTCTGAAGTTCCTAAAAATGTTGCACCCGTACCTAAGCGGGAAAAGAAGTGATGTCACAGAAGGGGGATAATTTTGCACGTCCCGTGATAATCCAGCGTCGTTTACCCTGTCATAACAGTTTCGAATCGTATGAGTACTCATTTTAAAAGCAGTTTTTATAAGAAGCTCCCTTTTCACAAATAATATTATGCACGTAGGCTGACCCATTCACCAAAGATGAAGACAAAATTCCTGGCTAAAATTGTTTGATGATTCTGTATTGTAACCATATTTATTCAAGCCTGCTAGTCGTGATTGGTCCTCTGCTGTCGAAACCCGATAGGACATACATGTAATTCAGGCCTACTACAACACTAGCAGTGTGGTCAGAATTTCCTTTCCTATTGCTTTTTCCTACCTTCTCGCATGGCTACACTCCGCCTTTTTAATACATTTTCGTCCCAGCTTACAGACCGCGCCTATCTTTCTAACTCGGCCTAACTATGCCAAAATTACAAAAAAACAAAAACACCACACAAATAACTCACGCCCTGATTGGGCGATATTTGCGGACCTGCGACACTGACTGGACGATTAGACCGTCCCTCGCCCTCGCGATTGGACGTGAGGTACACATTTATCCCAAGCACGAAATGCACCGATTGGATGCAAACTGCGTTGACTATTGATTGTTTACATTTAGCTACTCCAACCTTTCGTATATACAGTAAATTGGGCACAACAACCCCCTCATTTTGTAGGAGCTCTGCTTTTTTTTTTCACACACCTTTCCAAGTATAGACGATATGTGACGGGGTCACACAGCACCTTGCACTAGAGGGAGTTAGCCTCCGAGAGCTTACAAACTCTCAGTGAACGGCTGTTCACAGGTCCCCTTTTTATCGAAAAGGGAGCGAAGTGACCTAATTAAGGTAGAATGTAAGCTGAGTATATTTATAGGCAGATAAATCTTGGGTTTAATATAAACTATAAGTCACCTATAGAAAAGCAATGTGATCAACTAATGGTTGGCTTTGGACGACCTTGGTACCTTGTACCAAATATTCCGAAGTATGACGTGCTACACTTCATGTAGCCAGGGGTTCACTTGGGGCTACTTACCCCGTTACATCCCCCCACTTAGTTTCGATTTACCGACCAATCAGAATGAAAAGGGTGCGTCACAAACTTTCATTCTCAAAGTCGAAAAACATCGACTTGGCCGCGCGAGCGTGGCGGAGACTCACTTCACAGTTAGAGCCTCGAGCAGCATTCTGTGCGCTCCTCTTCTTGGTCTCCACTTCGACCGTTTGTCATGCCTCGTGGTACTGCGAAGAGCGGTGCGAAGACACGCTTCAAGGCTGCGGCCGGAAAGGCGCAAGTCAAGAGCACTAATCCTCACGGCAAAGGCTCGGCACTTCAGAAGGCTACTCAGGTGGCCTCCGAGGCGATCGGTTCATCGGGTGACACGGCTGTGGGCAAGCGAACAAGCAAGCGCCGCAGTCCGTCGCCCTCGGCCTCAGACAATCGTCCAAACCCTCGGTTCGCTGAACGTCGGTTCGACTCTGGCAGTGAGGACGAAGCCGTGTCCGAGAGCACGCACGATGCTCCTGCGGACTCTGCGGGAGGGCACAGCCCAGTGCCCAGCGAGCACAAAGACGACAGCGTGTAGTCGCTCGCTAGTAATCAAGGTGATCACAGTCCCAGGACGTATGTGCACTCCGAAAGTCCGGCCGTCAAGGCAAAGGGCACTCCCAAAGCTGGTGGCGATGAGGAGGGTAAGCCTGGCAACCGTCTCTCACTTGCCAAGGGACTTGCGCGTGCTAAGGCCGCGAAAGCCGAAGACGCCAAGCCCTTTAAGAAGCGTATGGCTTCGAAGTCTCCACTCCGCGAGGAGAAGGAGACTCGGTACTCCCATCGGGGCCTCTTCGACTCCTCGGATGAAGAGGACGAGAAGGAGGAGAAAGCGGATGAGGAGGAGGGTGCGATTTCGGAGCTCCGGGAGATCACGAATGACCTCAACCAGCAGCAGGAGGGCTTCCAAGATGCCCAGCGTTCGCGTAGGGGTTCGGTGGTGGCACTCGTCAGCCAGGGAGCTGCCAACAACTCAAGAGGGTATTGGCCTCCCAACGAGAGCTCTGAGGCTGACCTCTTCATGGAGCTTCTCGTCGCTCCTCGTGACCTTGTGGGCAGCCACACCTCTAGGGGCATTTACGAACGTACTCTTACCCAGAAGGAACAGTTTTTTGTTGACAACTTGGAGGCGGCTCGATGCGTGCTTCTCGCGCCACACTGCATCCCTCTTAAGGCCTTCACTACGTGTCGTAAGAAGCCCGAGAACCGGGGTGGTCTCTATCCTCTTTGGGGATACATCTGGGTTCTGCCCGAGAACTGCCCCACCTGGAGTTCTTGTGAGGACATGTTCTGGGCTTGGGTGGAGTCTCTCAAGTACTCACCCACGGAGTTACGGAAACTCCATGAAGATCAGCTGTTGTCCCGCATCCTGGACCAGCGTGATCTTCAAGTTCAATTTGCCCACATGGTCAGCAAGCGCATGCTGCCAAAGAACATCCCTAAGCGTGCGGCTTCTAGCGCTCACGATGAGCGCGGGTACGGAGTGTCTTCAACGTCCGTACCCCGTTCGGGAAAGAAGCCCCGGACTACTTATGAAGTTGCTGCCGCTTCTGTTCTCAGATTGCGACACCCTTCGAGCAGTCAATCAGGAGCCGTTCAATCGGCTCCCACGAGCTCTCGGTGTGGGCATAACCCCTCCACCTCACGAGAAGCTGTCGCTTACCGCGACGCCGTTGCTCCTGGAGTATCCGCTCCACGTGGAAGTGGACTCCTCCATTCCGGTCAAGCAGGGGCAGAGGTGTCCTCGTACGAGTACGAGTACTCGGCGCCTCCCGGACGCTACTCTTGACCGAGCGCTTCACCTGTGGGTTCGACGTAGGGCCCTAGGTTGAC